CGGAAGACAAACTGAAGGGAGAGGTGATGGATCTCCAGCATGGCAGCCTTTCCCTTAGAACACCAAAAATTGTCTCTGGCAAAGACTATTATGTGACTGCAAACTCCAAGCTGGTCATTATCACAGCGGGGGACCTGCCAGCAAGAGGGAGAGCATTGACTCAATTTGGGTCAGCGAAACGTGAACATCTACCAGTTCATCATTCCCAACATTGAGAAGTACAGTTCAAACTGCAAGCTGCCTATCGTTTCAAACCTGGTGCCTATCTTTATCTATGTGACTTAGAAAACAAGTGGCTTTCCCCCAAACCGAGTTATCAGATTACAATCTGGATTCAGCTTAGTTCTGTTACCTGATGGGAGAAAAGCTGGGCGTTCACCCGCTGGGCTGTCATGGCTGGGGCCTAAGGGAGCATGGAGACTCCAATGTGCCCATGTGGAGTGGCATGAATGTTGCCGGCGTCTCCCTGAAGAATCTGAACCCAAAGCTGGACACTGATGCAGACCAGGAGCAGTGGAGAGAGGTTCACAAGAAGGTGGTTGACAGTACCTATGATGAGATCAACCTGAAAGTTTACACATCCTGGACCACTGGACTCTCTGTGGGAGACTTGGCCCAGAGCATAATGAAGGATCTTAGGTGGTTTCATCCCATATCCACCATGATAAGTGGTCTCTATGGGATCAAGAATGATTCCTCGGTGCTCCTTGTATCCTGGGAAAAAATGGAATCTCACATGTAGTGAAGGTAACTCTGACTCCTGAAGAGGAGTCCCGCTTGACGAAGAGTGCAGATACGCTCTGGGGAATTCAGCAAGAGCTGCAGTTCTGAAGTCCTCAGATGTCCTAGAACTTCACGGTCCAGGCTGTAGCTGGGTTTCTATGGAGAACACACTGTCTCCTCATCTGAGCTGTGGCTAATGCTGTTGTGTTAAGGTGGCCTGGAGAAAACCTCAGTTCCCACAGCTTCATCCTGATGCTAAGTGGTACTTGTGTAGTGATAACCTGGTTAATGTGACTGCCCCACTGTCCCTGAGACACGCTGCCAATTGTGTGCAGGCTTCAATTAACCTGTGGACCCTCACCAAACATGCCTAGGCCAACGAGTTCCCAATTCATCATACCCTGGCGCCAGTGTGTAAATCCATTATGTGTATCTTGTGCAAAACTATTCTAAAGGATGTTATTGTGTGTGTTATGTGTATGTAGTGCACATTGCAATATTATGTAAAAATTAAGTTCTGAGCCGGGCGGTGGTGGCGCACGCCTTTAATCCCAGCACTCGGGAGGCAGAGGCAGGTGGGTCTCTGTGAGTTCGAGGCCAGCTTGGGCTACCAAGTGAGTTCCAGGAAAGGCGCAAAGCTACACAGAGATACCCTGTCTCGAAAAACCAAAAAAAAAAAAAAAAGTAAGTTCTGAATATGAATGATGCAACCAACTCCCCAAGCATCATGCCAACAAAAACACCAAATAAACTTTGAACAGTGAAAAGGAGAGAGAGAGAGATAAAATCTAGTGGGATTTAATTAATTAGGTAATTGGGGCAGCTTGTATCTGGAAAACATTTCCTGATGCAGCCCTCCTGGATTGGAATGTCCTGAAGGCTATCTTTGTTTTCTCACCTTTTCCAGTGACCAATTTTGAAGGATGTTGCCATAGTTACACCTGGGAGTTGTCAGTGTTGGCAATGGGTAGGGTCTTGCCTTTTCCTGTTGTCCTAGTGCAAAGTGTACCGGTTGCCGCTTAATTCTGGTAATCATAACAATTGCAGCCACTTTGTCCACACCCGTCTTCCAGCCTGTCCTGACACTTGAGGACACTTCACACTCTTTTCTTCGCCAACCCACAAGTTTCCACATCGCTCTGCTTTGAATGCTCACTACAGATCTCACTAAATAGAGTGAACGATAACCATAAATGCCATGCTGTCTTGCCTCTACCAAACAATCCAGTTCATTACTTTTAAACCCTACTTCCTTCAGATATTTTTCAGCACGTGGCAAAATACAACCAGATTCTTTGCCAAAATAGCACAAGAAAGAATGGCTTGGAACTAAGTTCCCTGTTCCTTTCTGGAACTTTCTACTCCTGGTGTTCACCATCTACATTTCTCTCGGCGGTCTGGTCTTCCAAACTCTCACACCAGAATGTTCCCTTGAGTGATGCACTCGGCACTCTAGGGGTTCCCTAGTGTGCAGCTCCAAACTCTTCCACATTCACCCCACAAACCAGTTCCAAAGGCTAAGAACCCATGCATTCAGGTTTATCAGAGCAACAAACCCACTCTTGGGACCAATTTTTGAAGAAGTAAAAAAAAAAATTGGCTTTTGGGGATTACAAATTGCTCCTGAAAAAAGTACAAGGAGTAAATTCTATTAATTACCTGGGATGTAAAGTAGATTTACAAAACATTCAACCCAAAAAAAGTACAAATCAGGAGAAATCGATTGCAGGCTCTTAATGACTTTCAAAAAATTGCTGGGAAACATTAATTGGCTATGGCCACAGTTGGATTGAATAATTCGTTTCAAACCTTACAAGGTCACAAGGACTTAGTCCAAGAGAATTATCAGCTGAAGCTGAGAAAGAATTGGCTTTGGTTAAAAAAAAAAAAAAAAAAATTACAGGAGGAACACGTGGATCGTTTGGATACAGAGCTTGATTGCATTCTGGTTATTATACCCTCTACACATTCCCCTACAGGGATTTTAGTGCAGAGGGAAGATATTATCTTAGAATGGATATTTTTACCACACAAACAGAATAAAAAATTAAACACTTACGTACAAAAGGTTTCTGAATTGATTTTAAAAGGAAAATTAAAACTTCATCAATTAGCAGGAATAGACCCAGCAAAAATTTAGTACCTTTTACTAAAGCTGAAATTTCCTCTTTATGGGCAGAAAATAAACATTGGTAAAGAGCTTGCAATATTTTTTTTAAAGCGAGATTAACAACAAATATCCCAAAAGCAAGAGAATTCATTTTATAAAGAGAACTAACTGGTAGTGGGGGATTTATTAAGGCAACTCCACGTAGTTAAAAAGGAGGTTTATTTGGGGGTAACTTACAACAAGTGAAGGGACAGGTTACAGGGTCCAGGAGAGGTGGAATACAGTCCAGCAAGGTTCTCTGGAGAACTCTACTCAGTCTACCACCCAATATCCAGGATCACCAGGAACCAAGAGAGCCAACACATCTGGACCTCGGGCCTTAAGGGCTCCAGTCTCAGCCTCACCTCAGGGGCAGATCATGGGTAGGCATGGCAGTTACGGGAAGCCTCACTGGGGGTGGTATTTCCAGGTTAAAGCTGGAACAGCTACCCACTACAAACTGGATCCTTCCTCACATTGTACAGGGCACATCAATTTCTGGAGTCCCTACATTCTATACTGATGGAAATAAGTCAAGAAAGGCAGGTTATAAATCAGGAAATTTAAATAAAATGTCTCAAAGACCTTATGATTCTGTCCAAAAGTTGAAATTATATGCTATTCTCCTGGTACTATTTTTCAGAACCTCTTAATATAGTTACTGACTCTTAATATGCAGAAAGAGTTGTTTTACACATGGAAACTGCTGAACTTATTCCTGATAATTGAGAATTAACTTCGTTATTTATATAATTACAAGAAATAGTCAGGAATAGAAGTCATCCCACATATATATAAAACACATATCAGATCCCACATGTCTGCCAGGCCCTCTAACACAAAGTAATGATGAAATTGATCAATTATTAAGAGAAAATATGCTGGAGGTCTCTGAATTTCATTGAAAAAAAAAAGAACACCACATCAATAACAAGGATTTGAAAAAGGATTTTTCCATTACTTGGCAACAAGCCAAGGAAATTATAATAAAATGTCCTACTTGTTCCTTATATAACCAAACTCCACTACCTGCAGGAAGTAACCCATAGGGTACTCAAAGAAATGAAATTTGGCAAATGGATGTGTTTCATTTTATGGAGTTGGGAAAATTAAAATATGTACACCATACCATAGATACATATTTAGGATTTTAATAGGCAACTGCTTTGAGTTCTGAAAAGGCTGATTCTGTAATTACACATTTATTAGAAGCTATGGCAATTGTGTGAATAGCTGTACAAATTAAGACTGACAATGCTCCATCATATGTCTCTACTAAAATGAAACAGTTTTTGCATATTACAACATAAAATATATTGCAGGTATACCACACAATTCTACAGGACAGGCAGTTTTAGAAAGATCTAATAGCACTTAAAAATGCTTAATAAACAGAAAGGGATAATAAAGACCCCCAGAGATTGATTACTGTAGCAGGAGTCTTAAAAGTTCTTATTAATAGAATCAAACCTGAGCCAGGTATTGGGGTGAACTGGAAGATCAGAGAACCAGAACAAGCCACAGCTACCTCACCTCGCCGGATCCTCAGCCGGTCTTGTTTCCTCAGACTAGAGGTCTCCGAGTCCTCATCCAGAATGGGTCTCAGCTGAACTGCTGCTAGAAGCCTGAAAGCTTAACCAGCCAAATGCTTAACCAGGCCAAATGCCTCTAGTTTCTGGTCCTCACGCCTTATATATCTTTCTGTTTTCTGCCTCACTCCCTGGGATTAAAGGTTCACTTTCTGGGCTTAAAGGTGTGAGTAAGTAACCATGCTTGGCTGTATCCTTGAACACATGGATTTCTGCCTCTGGAATGCTAGGATTAAAGGTGTTTGCTACCACTGCCTATCCTCTATGTTTAATATTGTGGCTGTTCTGTCTCTGACCTCAGATAAGTTTACTAGGGTGCACAATATTTCGGGGAACACAATACCACCTCAGATTACACAATGCTTTATTAACGTTGAATTTTCTAAATGCTAATAAGAAAGGAACAACAGCTGTAGAGAGACATTGGACAATAAAAAAACTACTGAATTAAATCGGCCTATATAAAGATATGTTGACCTCAGAATGAAAACCAGCATATATGTCAAGGGGTTTTGCTTTTATTTTCACAGAAGAAAAGCTATGGATACCATCAAAATTAATAAAAATTTAATTCAAACAGGAGAGACCTCTTGATGAGGAGGGATGATAATTCATCAACTGATGTGGTGATTCTACATCTGCAAAGGAAAAACATACCAAATTAGGGTCAGGGCAGAGTTTTATTTTTGTCTTTCCAGGAAAATAAAAACATCCTAAAAAAAATAGTAATTGAGGTTACTATTGTCTTTTTAAAGACTTTATTATTTTTAAACTATTTTTTTCCCTATGGCTGTCTATACCCATTTTCTTTTCTTTCTTAAGTGCCTACACACATTTTTAAACACACTGTAACCTGTTTAGAGGGTTGGGTTTTTTTTTGTTGTTGTTGTTGTTGTTTGTTTGTTTCCCAGTCTGGACCTGCTTTACTGTGCACCTGTAGCATATTCTCTGACAGCATGAGTCAAACCTTAAACTCGCCCCAACTATCCTTCTTTTGTCTAGCTATTGGCCATGCAGCTTTTTATTAGACCAATCAGGTGCCTTAGGCAGGCAAGGTGAAACAGCAACACATCTTTACTATGTAAAAAAAAATTCTTTTTCACGACTCTCTCTCTCTCTCTCTCTCTCTCTCTCTCTCTCTCTCTCTCTCTCACACCTTTCTCTCCCTCTCTTTACCTATCCCTCTCTGCCTCTTCCTCTCTCTGTTCCTCTCTCCCTGTCTAAGGAGCTGAGGTGGAAGTGACTTTTTCATTCTGTCTCAGCCTGCTTTTTAGGAGATGACTTGGAAGTCACAATTTATGCCAAGTTATGTCTGGCTGCCCTTCCACAACAAGCCAATTAAAAAAACCAAATTAAAGGTAGGAAGTGGGGGGGTTGGGGAGGAGGAGATTTCTTTAAAGTGGTCACCTTGGAAAGTAGGTTACAAATACACAGAAAATCCCTCAGGTCTACCTTTAGAGTCCTGAAGATCCGGGAGGCCAAGGATATTCTCATGAGCAGTCCTGGTCAAGGTGCAGGTCATGTCCATCATTGAGTCATCATTATCTGGGTTTTTATATCACCCAGTCAAGTGAAACCTCCCTCAGGGAAATAAGTTCATCTTCTGCTGGTGCATTTTCCTTTTCCCAGCACTGAGATTCCTGGAGAAATTCCATTATCCTTGGGGGCCAATTGTCTCAATAGTCTGATAGCCAGATGGGAGACATAAGTATCTTTGGAGAATGTTTATATCTGCCAGACCAGTACAGGGGCGAGAGATCAGTTTTTAAGAAGATGTTCCCCAGAAAAGCCGTGTTACTAGCTATGACCCAGGAACAGAGAATGGGTGTAGAAAAGGTTTATTTTTTGGTAGTTGTACTAAAACATTTAGTGGGTTTCTTGTTAAAAAACAGAAGCGAAGGAATGTAGAACCCATATCCAACAGGATGAACCAGTCAAATAACAGACAGGGGAACTTACCAAGATGTTTGAAGATGGTCTCTGCACAACCCAGGGAATGTGGGACTAGGGATACAGACTTAGGTTCCTTTGGTTATCTTAACAGCCTGAGGCATTCCCCTGAGCTGTGGGGACCTCAGTGAGGGCCAGTCTGAGACCTTTAACTGTAAGGCTGAAAGGAATTTTGTGATTAGTTTGTATAATAAAGATGCTGCTCAAGGAAACCTATAAATCAAAGACAAAGAAGCAAGGTCAGGGAAGGAGAAGAGCAGGGAGTTCCTTCTCCAGTTACTAGAAACTCCAAAATTCCTTCTAATTAATGGTTTTCATTTAGCATCTAATTTAACTCATTTACAGTTTTCTTTTCTTTCTTTTTTTTCTTTTTTCTTTCTTTTTTTTTTTTCAAGACAGGGTTTTTCTGTGTAGCCCTGGCTATCCTGGAACTCACTCTGTAGACCAGGCTGGCCTCAGAGATCTGCCTGCCTCTGCCTCCAGAGTGCTGATATTAACGGCTGGCATGTGCCACCATGCTCTGCCACACGTAGTTTTAAGAGCTCTTATTTATTTTGCATTACCAATTTTATCAGGATTTTTTGTTATTGTTAACAGATATATTACATTTTAATTAAAGCAGGCTGCCTGTTTGTGATTCAAAAAGAAAAAAAAACCTTATTGCCTAGGACTTTGTTAAGTGTATAAAATAAACAAGTTTGGAGATGTCTCCTTTTTTTCAAATACTTGCAAGTTAATGATTATCACACATGAAGCCAACTACAGTACCTGATGCTGGCTTATCTGAAAACATCTCCTCCTTTTGGAAACCTTGTTCCCCATATATATGTATATGTACATACACATATATGTGTGTGTGTTCATATATATATGTGTGTACATATACATATGTGTGTGAATATATATGTATGTGTATATTTGTGTATATATATGTGTGTATGTGTGTATGTTCATATATGTGTGTGTACATATACGTGTATGCATATATATGTTTATGTGAATATATATGTATGTGTATATGTGTATATGCATATGTGTGTGTGTATGTGTGTGTGTGTGTGCATGTGTGCATATATAAATGTTTTCCTTTTCTCCTGAAAAGTTGCCTGTCTGTGCAAGCTTGGGAATATGTTTAGGGTTAGTTTTGGGTTAGCCTCTTTTGGGATCAACTTTCTCGATCTGCCTGTACTGGGTCTCTGAATTATCCTGTATGTTTACAATAACATGAGTGAACTCAAGACAGTGGGTGACCTTGTCTATACCTCCCCAAGTGAGCCAGTAAAGTTCCTTCTTACCCAGGAATGGGGTTTCCCATGAGGTTGGTGCAGACTGTAGGGGTGTTCCCCTGACATCTCCACCATTTTGGGTGGGAGGGAACAAGTGTGTCTTGTCGTCAGTGTCTTTATCACTTGGTGCTCATAAGGCTTCTAAGCTGAAGGCTTGACAAGATCACAGGAGAAGCAGCGGGAAAACACAGAGTTATGCATTTGAGGACGAATGTCAGGAGACAAAGGCCAACTGATAATAAATCAAAATACTTCAAAGACCAAAAAATAAAAAATAAAAGACAAATAAAGCAAAAACCAAAATGCCCTTCAAGTTCCAAAGGTAAACAAAATATTAAAAATAAGTTGAACATTCGGAATCCACAATGCTTTTAGAGATTGGAAGTAAACAAGCAAGCAAAGCCAAATGTCTAGACCAAAAGTCTTTCAAAGCAAATGAAAAAATTAGATGCCTTAAACCAAACACTTTGAAAGCAAAGAAAACGTTATCAAAGTAGGGTCCTTCTTAACTAGCTCAGCTTAATTAACCATTAGACAAATGGACCAAAGCCCAAACCAAGGGAGGTCCGGAGCCGCAGGAAGAACTCACCAACAATTCACCCAAGGGAATAGCACCAGGTAAGACAGATTCCATAGGTCATGGTCTTGGCTTCCATTCAGATGATTCTTCCAATGAAAAGTGGATCATCTCAGGCCCTGCATTGGGCACCATAACTGTTGAGGCAAAATCACAGCTCTCATTTTAAAGGGAATACGAAATAGTTAATTCTGGAAACATTTTGAGTGTCCATGGTCTGGGAGCAAAGATTCAGCTTACAAAATTACAATATTTCTTGTTCCAACATAGAAGCAGTTTCACAGAGCTTTTCTAGTTTTATGGAAGAAAAAAAGTTATAAATCAGGCCAAGTTTAAAATACACTGGTGGGTACACAAGAGGGGCGGGTACAATGAGATGGGGAGCTACTCTGTGTCCAAAGATGCCATCTAATGACATCCTTAGCTCTTGGGTAGGTGGAGTCTAGTGTTCTGCTAAGTTATAACTTCTAGGAGGTTTTTATTTATTATCATGAGATGTTAATTCAGATACAGAGTGGGGCAAGGAATGGCTATGCCAGAAGGCTAAAACTAGCCCAAGAAAAGTAGTTAGCTTCTGAACCTGCAAAATTCCAACCTCTCCACAGTACTGGAATTCCTATCGATCCATCAGTCTCTACAGACACAGAGTCTTTCCAGGAATTTGTCATTAACAGCCAGATATAGCTTCTTTCTCAGGAATTTTCATTCACAGACTCTCCTTACGATATACACAAATGAAAACAGAATGAAGCCTAAACAGTACAACTGAAACTATTCAAAACTCTTAGAAGAATCTGAAAGGGTAAGTTTCATGGCCATTGAGTCAGCCACGATGCCTTAAATGTGACATTAAAAATTCAAATGACAAGAACAACATTGGATTTCACCAAAATTACAAGTTTCTTTTCAGGGGACATATTGTACACTGAATTATTTGCCTCTCCCCACCCCAGGTTCATATGTAGAAGTCCCAGGCCCATACTACCTCAGAAAGTTAGATAAAACCACTGGAGTGTGTCCCAATGCAGAATAACTTGACTCCTTATAAAAGAAGGACATTTGGGTGCAGATATGTACAGAGGGAATACAATGTGAAGATGTATGTAGGAATCAGAAATCCACGAGATAAGGAGAGAGATACGGAACAGATTCTCCCCTAATGACTCTCAGAAGAACCCAGCCATCTATAAAAAGGCTGGTGTTGTACTTATAGTTTCCAAAACTTCAGGAGAATAAACCAGTCCTGGGTCAAAGCTGGTTATGATGACTCTGGAAAATGAAAATAGAATAGCATTAAGAGTTTAAAAAACTCCCCAAGTAATACAGGCTATTGCTGTTGCCTGTTGTGGAATATTAGTGGAAGATGTGTTACATTTGTTTATTCTGTGGAATATTTGTTTAATGATGCAAAGATGCGTTGCATTCTTTTGTTTTTTGTTTTTGTTTTTTCGGGACAGGGTTTCTCTGTGTAGTTTTGGAGCCTATCCTGGATCTCACTCTGTAGACCAGGCTGGCCTCGAACTCACAGAGCTCTGAGTTCTGCCTGGCTCTGCCTCCCAAGTGCTGGGATTAAAGGCGTGCACTACCACCGCCCGGCATGTTGAATTCTTTTATGTTGCATTTGTTTAACTCTGTAAAGCTTCATTATTTTGTTGCCTAAAACACCTCTAATAAAGAGCTGAACAGCCAATAGCTAGACGGGAGAGAGAAATAGGTGGGACTGGCAGGCAGAGAGAATAAGTAGGAGGAGAAACCGAGGCTAAAGGAGAAGAACAAGAAGAGGGAGGAGTAAAAAGAGAAGGACAGCACGCAGCCACACAACCAGCCATGGAGTAAGAAGGGAAGAAAGACACATAGAATAAGGAAAGGTAAAAATCCCAGAAGCAAAACGTAGAAGAAAAGAAATGGGTTAATTTAAGTTACAAAAGCTGGCTAGAAACAAGCCAAGCTAAGGCCAGGCATTCAAAAATAAGAATAATTCTCAGCCAGGTGGCAGTGACGCACCCCTTTAATCCCAGCACTCGGGAGGCAGAGCCAGGCAGAGCTCTGTGAGTTCGAGGCCAGCCTGGTCTACAGAGCAAGATCCAGGACAGGCACCAAAACTACACAGAGAAACCCTGTCTCAACAAAACCAAAAAAAAAAAAAAAAAAAAAAAAAAAAAAAAAGAGTAAGTCTAAATCCCCATGTATTATTGGGAGCTGGGTGGCAGGCCCCTAAAGAGAAAACAAAAACAAAAACAACCAACTACAGTTGCCCTTGGTTGCTTCCCAGATTTTAAAAGTAAGTCTTAATTGCTAAAGTTACCACACACTTCAGACACAGAACTTGAAGGAATAGAGCCACATCTGTCCTGGAATCCTCCTCCCTGGGGATGCTTTCACAGTATCAGAGGGTGCTATGCAAGCTGCCAAGGGAGAAGAGTGTCCAATAGCCAGCTGTGGCACCTACGAATCACAACAATGACTTGTGTGGCAAGATGTCCACACCACACAATCTCCACAGCCACACAATGTCCACAACCACACAATCTCCACAGCCACACAATGTCCACAGCCACACAATGTCCACAGTCACACAGTAGCAGCACTTATATCTTAGGGCTAACCAAGAGCTGTGTAATTGGATTTAAGGCCTGATTAATAGGAAGGAATTTATACCTGCTACTGGAAACCTCGCCAACTACTCACAGCAGGTGAGGCTTTGGAGCCTTAGGAGAGAGCCTACTACTGCCATTTCCCAGACCAGTATAACTTCTAAGTGCATTCTTACTTATTTTGATTTTGTGTGCACTGGTGTCTTGCTTGTATGTATGTCTGTGTGAGGGTGTCAGATCCTCTGGAACTGGAGTACAGACAGTGTGAGCTGCCATGTGGGTGCTGGGAACTGAACTCAGGTTCTCTGGAAGAGCAGCCAATGTTGTAAACCGCTGAGCTATCTCTTCAGTCCCTCTAACTGCATTCTTAATACCTAACCCACAGAGAAGTGTTCTCATCCTTCATCAAAGACACTTCCTCTTGCAGCATACAGAGACCATTGCATAAAACCACAATTGCTCAAAATGCAGAGAAAAACTGGCTCAGGGGTGCCTAGTCCCAGTTGGTAAATCTACAACAAAACTCCTACATCTAAGGCTCGGAGATAACTGCTGCATGATTGTGTCTTCTGTGTATTACATGGGAAGCTGCCCCCATGAAAGCTCAACAATATGGTCACCTAAAAAAAGACCTGAACAATGACTATATCAGCTGACGTGCCAACCTGATGGGGGAAGTCTCACAAGACCCCAGCCCTCAACAACGAAGTTCAGGAAATTAGTAACTGCTGAGAAAAGGAAGACCAGTCTTCTCCAGGAATCAGTCCCAATTGGTTATCTAATACCAAGTGGCCATCCCTAGAAAAGTAGATACATCAATAATTGCATTCAAGAATGAAAATAAAGGAACTTCCCCCTTGGAGTAGTGTGACCAAGAATTGAGTCCAGTCCATTCTCCTATGTTTTCCATCTATCTGGAGTTTGGGGTTACTGGTCTGTAACTTGTCTGCCTGCCGTCTGTGTCTGATCTGTCTGTCCCTGTTGCCTGTGTGTGCCTTTATCTGTTCTGCATCTGTCTGTGCCTGTGTATCTGCTGTGCTGTGTCTGTCTGTGACTGTGCTGATCCCTAGCAAAGGACTTTCCTCTACATTTAGTTAACAGTGCAGAAAACACAGTATGGGAAAAGACGAGGAGGTCTTTACAGACATCTTTAACAGAATTTTACAAGAGAAGCTGCTTTATCGACCTCAACTCCCCTCCCCCTCCCTTCTGACAGCTCTCCGTCTCTTCTCACTCACCTCCCCTTCCTCTTTCTCTTCTTTAAAAAAAAAATATTTATTTTTATTTCCTGTGCGTTGGTGTTTTGCCTGCACTTATGTCTGTATGAGGGTGTTGGGTCCTCTAGAACTAGAGTTACAGATGGTTGTGAACCACCATGTGGGTACTGGGAATTGAACCTGGGTCTTCTGGAGGAGCAGTCAGTGCTCTTAGACATTGAGCCATCTCCCAGCCCCCTTCTTTCTCTTCTTTAGATTTTTTTTTAACCCAACCAGAGGAAGGGGAGTTGAGAAAAACAGAACCCATCCATGTCCTCAAAGACCTAGAAGGGGGTTTGCAAAGTGGCTGTCAAACCCACAGCCTTAGCACAGAGACTTTAGAAATCAGAAAACTTGGGTACCGTGCCGCCCCTGGTAAACTGGATCTCGTTAGGGAGAAACCAGCGCTATGTGGTAAGAAGTCCTCAAGGCAAACACCTAGCGCTGGCTTGAGCACCCCTGACCCGGGCGGAGTTTCTAAAGCTGTCAGTTCAAGCCTGTTTAACCCTGTGCAATCACATGTAAACAAGAGGCGCTAACCTCTTGTTTCTGCTCAGCAGGGCACTGGTGAGATGCCTTTGCTTCACAGGCTTCCTGTTTTTCTCATGTGGGTCTACTGATCTCCTGTGTCCTCTGCTGTTCCCCAACCTTTTTGTATAGAAACTAAAACTATTCAAAAGTTTTTATGGCGATACAGATTAAAAGATTGGGGTGGTGCTCTTCCGAATCACAGATCATATCCTCATGGCTGTCTCTCTTTTGCAGCAGCTTTACTGAAGTGTAGAATCATACAATTCAGCCATCCAATCTGGCCCTCTTCTTTCACGGGTTTTTAGTGTATTCACAGAAGTATAGAACCACTACAGTATCATACTGGTTGGATTTGTGTGTCAATTGACACAAGCTAGAGTCATCAGAGAGGAAGGAGCCCCAGTTGGGGAAACGCCTCCATGAGATCCAGTTGTGAGCATTTTCTCATTTAGTGATCATTGCGGGAAGGCCCGGCCCCTGGTGGGTGGTGCCATCCCTGCAGTTCTGGGTTCAATAAGAAAAGTAGACTGAGCAACCCATAGGGAAGGAGAGACCGACAGAGAGCCCGGGAGACAGAGAGAGCGAACAAGAGAGAGCTGTGATGTCGGGAGGGACCCTTTAAAGGGTACTGGTGTTGCACAGGGGGAAAATTCGGTGTAGTGACAGTGGAGATGTGTCACATTTGGTGGTGCTGGCGCTAAGTCCCTGAGGGCAGGCTGGTGGAGCGCCTGATTTCTAACGCAACTGACTCTGGCACAGAACATCAGTAGAAGCCAAAACCATTGCTAATGAATTGGGAAGAAAGAAATGCATGCTTACTGTAGAAAGATTCAGGCGTCACCACCTTAGCTCACTGACTAAAATTGGCATCACTGATTATGGGGCAGTCAGACATCACAAACTCCATGATATGATATGATATGATATGATATGATATGATATGATATGATATGATATGATATGATATGATATGATATGATATGATATATTATGGTATGGTATAATATGGTGTGACATGATATGATTTGATAGTTTAGTATGATGATATGATATGATAATATGAATACCATCAACTTACCTAGGAACAGTTCTTGCCTGATATTTTAACTTGCCAATCAAGCCCTTTGTAAGCTTCCATATCGTAAGAAGGAAAGGGGATAAAGTGACTTTATAAGCAACAATAGGAAAAACAGTCAAATCCGGAACACGAGGCTCTCCCGGAACACGAGGCTCTCCCCGTCCGGCCTGTTGACGTAGAAAGCTCACGTCATGCGGGAAGAAACCACCAGTGTTATTCTCTTCTCTGTTCCAGTGATAATCACCTTGTAACGAGAATGTGTGGATCTGAGCTCCCGGGTTTAGAGGCTTTAGTCCACCGTGGGTCTTCCACATTGCTTTAGGCCTATGGCGAGGCAGCGAGTCACCACAGGACAGTTTGTGACACCCCCAGCAACACAAAACTGGCATCAGTGTTCAGGGGATCCTCATGATCCAGCCTGTCATCCTGTTTCAGATTCAATGATGAAAAACAAAAACAATACAGCAAAGCATAGGTTTTAGGTTTTATTTCCCTTTTCTCTTTTTATTTTATATAAGTGGGTGTTTTGCCTGCCTGTGTGTCTGTGCACTACATGCATGCCTGGTGCCTGAGGAGGTCAGAAAAGGGTGTTGAATTCCCTGGAACTGGAGTTACAGGTGGCTGTGAAACATACAGGTGCTTGGAAACGAACCGCAATTCTCCACAAGAACAGCCAGTGCTCTTAACTGCTGAGCCATCTCTCCAGCCCCTAAAACACATTTCTTGACTGAAAATTAACTGAGATAAATAAAACTTTGGAGGATTAGAAAATTTTGAAGCCTGGTGTTGTGGTGCATGCCTTTGATCTCAGGGCTTGGAAGGCAGAGGCAGAAGCAGGCAGATCTGTGTGTTCAAGGCCAGCCTAGTCTACAGAGCAAGTTCCAGGACAGCCAGAGCTACACAGAGAAACCCTGTCTTGAAAAACCAAAAAGGAAAAAAAAAAGATGACATTAATTATTAATTTACTCAAGTATAATACATGTAATAAATATTAATAAACATGGTAACTATAATAAATATAAACACTTATTAACTTAAGTATAAGTATGATAGATACACAGTGTTAAAGTCATGCCATATTTGATTTAATAAATGCTAAATCTAGAAAATTTATAATACATGAAAAGGAAACAATTTACTATCCTTTACAACTTTTATATTTAAAACTTTTAACCAAATATAATGTGTGGGAAAAGATACTACTATGATTTTATTATAGAACATTATATATTACATAAACATTACCATTTCAATCATTTCAAGAATCCACTAGTGCTGGGCATGATGGCATTCATCTTTAATCCCAACACTTGGCAACCAGAGACTGGCAGAGACAGGCAGATCTCTATGAGTTCAAGGTCAGCCAAAGATACACAGGAAGTTACAGGTCAGCAAAAGCTATACAGCGAGACCCTGTCTCAAAAAAACTACTAAGAGAGCCGGGCGGTGGTGGCACATGCCTTTAATGCCAGCACTCAGGAGGCAGAGCCAGGCAGATCTCTTACAAGTTCAAGGTCAGCCTGGTCTACAAGCGAGATTCAGGACAGACACCAAAACTACACAGAGAAATCCTGTCTTGAAAAAACCAAAACCAAAACCAAAACCAAACAAACAAACAAACAAAAAACTACTAAAGGAGAGATAGAATTCAATGGCATCAAATACTTTTATATTACTGTATATCTCATTGTGTTTTTATCAAGCTAACTGAGGTATGAGCCACATGCTATAAACACACACTGTTTAACTGGGCAATACAGGGGCTGCCCCTGCATTAAGATGCAGATTTCCACCCTGTCGGTGTTCAGGCAGTCCCACTCACCATCATCTCAAACAGCCATCACTGAGCATCCGTCCTTCCCTGTAGACTCCCTCTCTTCAATCCTTCCACGTGAATGGAGTCACACAACGCTTGTATTCTGGAATTAGCTTTGTTTTACTCCGCATTTTTTCCATTGATTACAGAAATGTGTCCCTTTGGATTGTTGAATGTCAGTCTCCTGCATCAGTGAACATACAATGATTTGTCTATCCATTTACATGTGGCTGAGCTTTTAGGCTTTCAATCCAGAGCTACTCTACTTTAAAGCTAAAACTGTATGAATATTCATCTGCAACTCTTTTTTAGACAGATGCCTTCCTTTCCCTGTGTTGTGTGGTTAATACACATGCAATAACCAAATTGCTTTTCTGTAGTGCTTTTATAGTGACTACATGGTTACATTGTCAGACTTTTTTTTTTTTTTTTTTCTGTTTCTCTGTGTAACAGCTCTAGATGTCCTGGAACTTACTTTGTAGACTAGGCCGGCCTCGAACTCACAGAGATCCACCTGCCTCTGCCTCCCAAGTGCTGGGATTAAAGGCGTGTGCCACCACCGCCCAGCACATTGTCAGACTTTCAAATACTAAACAACTACTTTAGTGCTTATGAAGTAATATTATAATTTTTAACTAATATATTTTTGATGATTGATGATTTTCATGATTTTGTGGACATTCATGAAGCTTTTTCACATTTCACCTCTTTTAATGAAATAATGTTGTTTGTCTTGTGTAAGCCTCAGTCAGCTTTATTTGTTTTTAAATTTTAGTAATATATTTGAAGGTGGGTGGGCATATAATACATACAATACAATGCAACAGAATGCAACACAACACAACACAATACAATATAAACTACTCTTGTGCAGCTAGAGGACAACCTGTGGGGGTCAGTTCTCTTTCCAGTCCATGGGTCCCAGGGATCAAACTCAAATCCTCAGACTTGGCAACAGGTGCCTTCACCTGCTGAGCTGTCTCACTGGCCCAGAAGTGTTTTAGAGGTGGGAACTTTTGCTTGTTTCTCATCAGCACTAGGGCTCAGACCTAGGGACCCTTGAATGCTAGGCAAGCATGCCATCACTGAGCGGTCTCCCAAGCCCTTATATTCTTATCTATCAGTCTGTACAGCCAGGTTTCTTCCAGCACAACTCATTCTTTGATCATTTGGAGTCCCAATATTCGACCTAAAGGAGAAGACAAAAAACACTTGACATCTCAAAAATGCTGTAAGTGAATGCTATAATCTGTGTGATTCCCCGAAATTTGTATATTGAGAATGTTGTGGAATGTTAGCTTAAGATGTGTTGCATTCATTATGCTGTGGAATATTGGTTTGATAATGAAAAGTGTGTTGCATTCTTTTGTGTTGCATTTGTTTAACTCTGTAAAGCTGTGTCTGCCTAAAACACCTGATTGGTCTAATAAAGAGCGGAACGGCCAATAGCTAGGCAGGAGAGGGATAGGTGGGGCTGCCGGGCAGAGAGAACACATAGGAAGAGAAATCTAGGCTTGAGAGAACAGGAAGGAATGAGAAAAGGAGAAGGAGAGGAGGACACCAGGAGCCAGCCACACAGCCACACAGCCACACAGCCACACAGCCACACAGCCACACAACCAGCCATGGAGTAAGAATTAGGGAAGAAAGACATGTAAAATTAAGAAAGGTAAAAAGCTCAGAGGCAAAATGTAGAAGAAGAGAAATGGGATATTTTAAATTAGAAAAGCTGGCAAGAAACAAGCCAAGCTAAGGCCTGGCATTCATAAGCAAGAATAAGTCTCTGTGTTTTATTTGAGAGCTAGGTGGTGGGCCCCCATAGAGTAAAAAAAAAAAAAAAAAAAAAAACGATTACATGTGAATTTGATCCTTAATGCAGCAGTGTTTAGAGGCAGGGTCTAATGAGAGGCTCTTGGGTCTTGTAGATTCCACACTCATGAACTGATTCATGACATTTTAGAAAGAACTTGCAAGGGGTTTGCTCTTCTGCTGTCTGCCCTGATAACACACAGAATCCCTCCCATCTAGAGAATGCAGCATTCAAAGACCATGCAGGGTTCAGATGCCAAACCCTGACAAGATACTGACATGTTGGTCTTGAAGTCCCCAGATACCAGAACTGTAAAAAAAATAAACTTCTGTTTCTATAAATTAACCAGTCTCGGGTATTCTACGACAGCAGACCAAAATAAACGGGGACAGATATCAAACTTAGTGCCACTCTTCATTCAGAAGAAGAATGTAGTAGAAAGGCACTCACTTCTCAGCAGTCTTTAGCCTTTGGTTTCGGACAAACCAGACAAACAGTGTGCTGGTTAGAAGCATTCTTGGATAAGAAACATTTATTTCTAACCCTAACTGGTTTTCCATTTGAGGAGAATGCTCTCTTTCCATATACATAGGAGGCAACTTCAATGGAGATTCTTTTGTTTATTGGTGTCCTGTCCCCACAGACAGCTGCCCCATAGGGAGGGACAGTAGGCTGGGGACCTGAGGCACACCGAAAATGTTTCCAATTCACATTCTCTCACCATGGCCATCCTTACTGGTTTCTCCTGCTTGCTTGAGGTTTAGTTGCTGGAAGACTTTTCATCAGAACAGGAAATCGTTAGGGAAGTGCTGACTTGGAGGAAAAACAGGGACGAGGAGGGGATGTTTACCCAACCAAGGAGGAAGCCCGAGTCTGTGACCAGCGCACAAAGGGGAATGGTGCCCCTGGGTTATCTGGCCAGCTGACGCCGCCATGCACACTTCCTGACTCTTTCTTGGAAACAGTAATTGACTCGAACATGAAATGTGGATAAGAAATATCGTAATTGTGGGGAAAGGCTCATTGGTTGGGATCAACTCCTGGACGTTTTCTCATAAGACTCAAAGTTACACAAATTCTAAATACCTCACTCCCAACTATTCGTAATGTTATCCTTCAGCATATAGACAGCCCTAACGTAAGACACCTCAAAATACAGCGTGGAAATCAAAGGTGTCAGTTATTAGAGGCAGGACCCCTCAATGCAAAGACAACATGCAAAGACCTCTTTGAACATTCTAGGAGGGTGTGAGCTCTGTCTCCAGTTGTCACCGAGTATTTTCCTGACTGTACTTACAGACAATCACTTTCTCAAGAGCACAGCACTCACTTGATGGGACAGAGAAGAGGCCAAACACCACGTCAGTTTCTCTGGGGTGGGGGTGGGGTCACTCACTGCCATCCAACACACACTCACCCTCCTCCTTTCCCTTGATAATAACAGCGGTCTAACTGAAGAAACAGAAACATTGAGTCTATGATCGTATACGCTGACGTTATCATTCTAACACAGCTGTGTCTCTGGAGCTGAGTCTTTCCACCTGGACTCCGTTACCTCTGCTTTTGTCCTCATTGCCAGGCCAATGACAAACACCCCCAACTCTGGCCTGTGAGCCACGGCTGCACCATCAGGTGTCCTTCACCCAGTGCCAATCTGCTTATATTATGCGCTTGCTTAAAAGGTCCTTATTAGCTTTCATCTAAATGCACCTTGCCAGTTGCCTTTCCGTGCATTTTCTCTGACACGTTCTCCACTGGCTGCCCTGAACGGCTCCTTTTGCTTTATTGGCCTATCTCTGCTTTTTAGCTTCTCCTCTGCCGTCTACTGGGAGTGGGTGCTCTCTCTCTTGTCCACCTCAGTTTAGTCAGAGCCTCCTTCAAGCGGTGTCTCCAATGCAAAGACTTCCTGACCAACTCGTAGTGGGGACCTAGAACATCTGCTCCTCTTAAATGGAAATCAAATCTTATACACTTTATGAAACAGATGTAAAACTCAGTAAGTCTGGCTAACCAGCTTAGGCCAATGTATGAGCTCCAGGTTCAGTGAGAGACCATGTCTCAAAAACCAAGATGGCACACACACACACATGAACACATACACATGCCTGCACCACCACACGCAATAGCAATAATAGTAACAATAATAACGAAAACACTGGAAGAGGGAAAGCTCTCTCATGTTCATTGATAAACAGAAGTGATACTGTTAAAGTGTCCATATTACTCACAGCAATCTACAAACTTAATGCAATCCCCATCAAAATTCTAATGTCATTCTTCATAGAAATAGAAAAAATTGGTAGGCAGTGGCGGCACGTACCTTTAATCCCAGCACTCAGAAGGCAGAGGCAGGCGGATCTCGTAACACAAGGCCAGCCTGGTCTACAGAGTAAGTTCCAGAACAGCCAGGGCTGTTACACAGAGAAACCCTGTCTCAAAAAAAAAAATTAATCCTGAGGTTCATCTGGAAAAACAGGACCCCAAATAGCCAAAGCAATCCTGAACAAAAGCCACATTGGAAATAGTAAGTTTGAGGCCAGCCTGGACCATATAAAAAGATCCTGCCTCCAAAAACAAAAACTAAGTAATGAATAATACAATGAAAAATAAGTTCTCCCAAAGACAACTGGGCTCTTTTGTTATTTGATACTAAATTTAGATATTTTTTGTCTATTTGTTTTTGCTTTTTTTTTTTGAGACATGCTCTCACTATGTAGATTTGGCTGTTCTGGAACTCACTATGTAGACCAGGCTGGCCTTGAACTCATAGAGCTCTGTCTGCCTCTTCCTCCCAAGCACTGGGATTATAGATGTACATATCTTGAATGTCCCGCCAAGGCCAAGTGTGCAAGACTTGGTGCCCTGCCCAGGGCACTATTGGTAGACCGTGAAATCCTTAGGCGGTAGAACATAGAGAAGGCCATCATGGTGATGTGCTCAAAGGGGTGCTGGGACTTAGCCTGTGCTCTGTCTTGCTTCCCACAGACTGTGGAGTAGCCTTCTCTGTCACACACTGCCACCACGATGAACTACTGCCTTCCTACAAGCCAACCAAGCCAACTGGCTTCCAGACCTGAATGTCAAAATGAAGCTTTTGCTCTTCGCTCTTTACACTGCTTCTCTCCGGCATTGGTTATAGTAACAGAAAGGCAACCCAGGAGTTTTCCTCTAATTCCTGGATGCTAGGATTACCAGGTTCACTAATTGTTTTTTCTACGCACAATTTATGCAGGCTTACAATCATATACCACAATTCTGCACTTCTGCTTAACTTTGATTATTTAAGCATTTCACAGGTAATTAAAAATTCCTTGTGGATATCACTGTTCATGAATATGCAATAACCTGCGCTGCCATGTAATGATGCTATAATTCTAATGTTCCATTACTGAATATTTAGCTCATTTCCACCTTCTGTCTATTATAAATTATACTAGTAAATACCAAGATGATCTCCCTACAGCTAGGATTATTCTCTTCCTGTGCGGTGTCAAGAATATAATTATTAGACAAAAACCTATAACCACTTTAAGGTCTATGATAAAATTTTGACTAATTTACTTTCAAAAAGTTGTAAATTAATAAAATAGCCTTAGCAAGATTCCAAATTCATGCCCTATGCCTACTCTAAATATTGCTACTTTGGAATCTTTAGTTACATAGTGGAAAATGGTTATAAGTAAAATATGGGGTTTTGTTGTTTCAATCTTTACTTATTAAAGAAAAATGTATTTGCTAAATACACAATTCACTTATTTTCATCTCTGTGTGACTTGCCTCCTCATACCCTTGGCTATGAGTGGGTTTATTATCCTGTGTTTGGCTTCTTCGAGTGTTAGGGACATTAACTTGTCACACTTTTTGCAAATAACTTCAAGTTTACTGGTTGTCTTATAACTTTAGGCAGTTTTTTAGAATGTTTGACAGTTTTATACATGAGTGGTATTTTCGGGGCGGGGAGGGGGGGAGAGTTGGGAGGTGTTAAGAGACAGGGTGTGGTCCTGGCTGGCCTGGAACTCTCCCCGTAGCCCATGTGCTGGGATCAGAGACATGCGCCATGCTGCCTGGCACATGAGGGGTGTATTTACACTGTGTGTGTTCCTTCTCCCTCTCCACCTCCTCAGGTATCCTCCCTACTCCCTCCCAAATCCATGACCTCTGTGATTATGTTCTCTCTCTCTCTCTCTCTCTCTCTCTCTCTCTCTCTCTCACACACACACACACACACACACACACAGAGAGAGAGAGAGAGAGAGAGAGAGAGAGAGAGAGAGAGAGAGAGAGAGAATGATAGACATATGGCTTACTGAGCCCATTCAGTGTGTTGGAAAGGCAGCAAAGTTAATTTTTAATACGTTGTCTTACCTATCTATCTCTTCCTCTACAGCAGCAGTTCTCAACAGGGGTCACATATTAGATATCCTGCATATCAGGTATTTACATTACAATTCATAACGCTAGCAAAAATTATAGTTGGGAAGTGGCAATGAAATGCTTTTATGGTTGGAGTCACCACAACATGAGGTATTAAAGGGTCGCAGCATCAGGAAGGGTGAGAACCACTGGTCTACAGTCTTTTACACATTTTCTTCTTTGATCCAGAGATTTCCTGATCAGTTTTATTTAACTGTTTGAGGATTTTTTTTTTTTAACTTTTGATTCCTTTTTTTCTTTTTTTCTAACAAGATCTTGCTTTATGCCCCTGGTTGGACTGGAACTCCCTATGTAGACTAAGCTGGCTCAGAACTCACAGAGATCCTCCTGCCTCTGCCTCCTGAATCCTGGGAGTAAAGATGTTGTGTATCGGCCGGGCGTTGGTGGCGCACGCCTTTAATCCCAGCACTTGGGAGGCAGAGCCAGGCGGATCTCTGTGAGTTCGAGGCCAGCCTGGGCTACCAAGTGAGTTCCAGGAAAGGCGCAAAGCTACACAAGAGAAACCCTGTCTCGGGGGAAAAAAAAAAAAAGATGTTGTGTATCATTACACATGACAATTTTTTTTTTTGAGACAGAGTCTCATGTAGCCCAGGTTGGCCCAGAATTTGAATTTGCTATGTTTGAGGATGACCCTTAACTTCTATGCCTACTGTCCCCACTTTCTTTCCTAGTGCTGAGCTTCCTGGTGTTCAGTTTATGGGTGCTGGGACTTGAACCCAGGACTTCCTGTGTGTTAGGCAAGCACTTTGTTAGCTGAGCTACATTCCCAGTGCTCCTGCAAATTACTTTCCTGATCTATTTGCACATTTGCTCAGGCATTTCTGAGGAACAGACCCTAAGTAAGTGGAATATATAAGCTTCACATACTAGACCCCAATTCTAATCGATCTGCTATAGCCTGCCTGCTGATCTTAGGCCAGGACTCATCCACCTGGTTTGCTGTGGTTTCGCATCCCAGCAAAGCCAGCTGTTTATCCCACTCTCACGTCCATAAAGTAAGTACTTCTCCTTTCTTTCTTTTCTTTTCTTTTCTTTTCTTTTCTTTCTTTCTTTCTTTCTTTCTTTCTTTCTTTCTTTCTTTCTTTCTTTCTTTCTTTTTTTTTTTTTTTAAGAAAATCTCTGTGTGTAGCCCTGGCTAACCCGGAACCTGAACACTGTAGATCAGCAGCGTCCTCACCAGAGTACCAACTTCCATGGGACACACTTACATTTGCTTCACACCATTTCACATTCTTCATTCTTTACTGTGTCAAGGAATCCATACTTTGTTTTTAATTCTTCACGTTTAATTTTATGTTTAATGTTTAACTGAAAACCTTTTATTGATGTTTTAAATAAGGAATCCTTGACATTGACTCAGCCTCGTTCAGCTGGTACAAACAAACTCCTTTTGAGAGACTGTCTCTCATATTCCTTCATCATACCACAAAGAACCCCAGTGCAGCAGAACCCGTCCATGTGAATGATGGCTCAGACGTTTCCTCATGTTTCCTAATACCCAGACTCTCTGTCATATAACAAATTCGGTGACTCACTTTCCGAGGCAAAATTTTCCACAAGGCGGTGCATACTCATGCAAAAGCTCCTGTGAACAACCTGTGCCCCAAATGTCTCAGCCCTAGCGGGGGAATGGCCACGGGGGTTCTTCCTCCCCACGGCACGGGCTCTGGGTGTGAGTCCTTGCTAGACCATCTAAGAGCTGGGGCTTTGAACCAGTTAGCTAGTTTCTCTTACACCCAGCTTCCTTCCTGATCAGCTTGGTTGGTGATATTTAATTTATAAAGTGCCATGAGGACTAAATAACGTAATACCTTTTAGAAGCATCAATAATATTATTGATATTTTTCTCATGTTGTAATATGTCTGGTACAGAGTAGCTGCTGAGTAAATATTTGCTGGATAAATGAAGGATTTCTGTAAAGACTCCAGCGATGAAATGGGACGTTTCTCGGGGGTTTCTAAGCTGGGTGATTCAATGCTAATAAACAAACGGGAAATGATAGTTCTGTTTTTGTCCTGTGAGGGCCTAATAATAGTGCCTTTATTGCTCTATTAACAAACAACTTGCATGACTAGACCTCAGCCTGGTCCCTGGACACAGTCACGGAATAATTCCTGGCCTTATAGCTTTGGATGCAAAGAAAAGAACTCAGCCCAAGCTTCAAAGAGAAACTGGGTATAAATCTAGGAACTGTTGTCTCAGAGGACCCATGAGTAAAAACATAGGAAAACCTTCAGAAACCAAGGCGTTCTCCTCTCTCTCTCTCTTTCTCTCCCTCCCTCCTTCCTTCCCTATCTATCCCTCCTTCCCCCATTTATTTCTCTGCAGCTAGGCATCCTTTCTCTGCACTGAATGGCAGAAGATAGCTCCCCTGCGTTTTAAGTCTGCATAGTGATTGTCCTAGTCCACACTCATGGAGGAATCTGGCTGCCCCAGTATATCAGTCTGTCTGGAGAGGCTATAACAGAATTCTACAGACTGGGTAATTTATGAGGCATAGAAATTAGCTATAGCCAGGCGGTGGTGGTGCACGCCTTTAATCCCAGCACTTGGGAGGCAGAGGCAGGCGGATCTCTGTGAGTTCGAGGCCAGCCTGGGCTACAGAGTGAGTTCCAGAACAGGATCCAAAGCTACACAGAGAAACCCTGTCTCAAAAAACAAAAACAAAACAAAAAAATGCTCTTTCTGCACTCTCTCCTTCTGTATTCTCTCCTTTTCATGCGAGGGGGGGGAGGGGATCTCTCTCTCTCTCTCTCTCTCTCTCTCTCTCTCTCTCTCTCTCCCTCTCCCCCTCCCTCCCAATAAAGCTCTAGAAAGGTTAAAAAAAAAGAAAGAAATGAATAAATTAGCTATTCATAATGGCACATACCTGTAATCCCAATACTTGGGAGGCTTAGGCAGGAAAATCTCAAGGTGGAGGCCAATCAATCTAGTTTACACAGCAAACTGCCTCAAAAATGTCTTTCATTAGCTCAAACTCCTGGAGAGTGGGTAATCTAAGATTAAGATGCCAGTGTGTGGCCAAGTCCTCCTTCTTGCTGGCCAGTACTCCATAGCAGAAGCTGTCACGGGGCAGAAATACAAAAGAGCAAAAGGTAGAAAGGCCTTCCAGAGCTAATGTGCTAATCCTTTTATTAGAACAGAGCCCTTGGGCCCAAGTCACCTGTTAAAGACTCCGCCTCCTAATATTCTTAACAATGGCAACTAAATCTCAGCAGAGCTCGGAGAGAGCTGGCGCCCGGCCCTCTTCAAGCGCCCACTTAGGGCGGTTCAAAGGTCTTTAGGAGGAGAGCATAGTGCATTTCAAGGGCGCCTGAAGAGCAGTGCCAGGAAGCCGCCCGCTGCTGAGTGACAGACAGGAGAGCCTCCAGAGGTCCCCGGGGGGGCCCACACGTCACAGCCCTGACTCCGACAATAAACTGAACCACAGGTTAACCTTTTTAATGTTTTTATTGGTACGTCATAACTGCATATAATGTGTTGTGGTCAATTCTACCCTCTAACTCCTCCCCTATATCCACCACCCCTTTTGCCTCCCAACTTCATACCCTGTGCTTCCACCCACCGAGTCTGCTTAGGGCTTCCGGTTTGTGCAGGAGTGGAGATCGTCCACAGTGGCGCAGGGGCCACATCTCTGAAGAAAACTGATTCCGACATCACTTGCCAACTGTGCCTGGGCTAAGGGTGGAACTTGATGAGTCTCTGCCCACCCACTGCAGATAAACCTTTCATTCTACCCAGCAATTTATTATGAAGACTAGAAAGTTAATGCAGTGAAGAGGACTGGGCATGGTGGCACAAGCCTTTTAATCCCAGCACTCAGGAAGCAGAGGCAGAGGCAGAGATCTCTGTGAGTTCGAGGCCAGCCTGGTCTATAAAGCGAGCTCCAGGACAGCCAAGGCTACGAAGAGAAACCTCGTCTCGAAAAACCAAAATAAATAAATAAAGTGAAGAGGACTCTGAACTTTTTACTTCACTTATTGCTAAAAAAATAATTTGTTGTTTTTATTTAGTAAAGTTTATTCAGAAACATGTTTGTTTACAGGAAAATTATCAAGTGGGAGGAGGATAAAGACTGGTAACATAAAAAAAAATAAGTAAACAGTCTTAAAACCTGTGTCCCAATATTCTTAAGGAAAGCACTTCATGGATACAATTTGAGTTCAGAAGCAAATGCTTCCGGTTTGGTTCCTGCCTCGGGGTGACGGGTTAGCATCTGGAACCATCTGGAACCGTGTCTGCGTTCTGCTCAACTGTCCCTGGCTCTGCCAACGGCAGGGGCCGCGGTACCGTCAAGAACTTACTCTGCTCGGTCCTCCCTCCATCATGAGATTTTTGGAGACTTCAACAGTCTCTCCTCAGCGCAGACGATTTCAAACTTAGATTTATTTTCTTTGACTTTGACTTGATGGTTCAGGGAAATCACGTACATTCTTGAGGAGGGCACCTGCCGTCCCCAAATCCCTCCCTTTTCTTTTTTGCAGGAGTGTTAGCACAGGAGTGTTAGCACAGGAGTGTTAGCACACGTGGGATGTCCTATGCCAGCCAAGCCGAACGAAGCAAGTCAGCTGCAGTTTACCTTTCCCACTGATGACAAAACGCGCTTTGAACGAAGTGCCCGAAGGCAAACCCTGAAGGAGCCTGGAGAGTGAACAGGCGCAGGCAGACCGGACTGAAGCCTGAAGCGGAAGAAGCTGCAGCCTCGCTGAGTATCCCAAGTGCGTGTGACTTCTTCACCTCCTCGACTCAAGCCAAAGGCAGGCCAGGTTCTAGAACTGTGTATCCAGGACTATCAGGAAAACTCCAGAAATCACCTTGGCAAGCCAACAGGCCAAGAAAAGTAGCTGGCCCGGAAGCAGTAATAGAAACTTCTGACTTTCTTGACAAGCGTTCCTGCCTCCCGGTCCTGATGCTGCAGGACTCCTGGGCCTCAGTAACAGCACCGACAGGCACACCTCTACAGCAACCAAAGAAAGCTTGCCCTCTGGCCGGAGAGAAGTAGGAGCGAGGGTGGTGCCTTTCAAAAGTTCAAGAAAACCTAAGTCTTCTTTTTCTTCTCTCTTAATGCTTTACTCCAAACCAGCCCTAGTCACACAAAACAGCTCCAGAGTTCAGGGATCACAACTATCAGATACCCGACAGCCTCCTGTCCAGAAGATCCAGGAAAAGGAGGATCCTGTGAGCTGGAGGATGCCAGCAAATGCCAGAGAGCGTACTAAAAAAGGGTCCTTCTCACTGTGTAAAGGTCCCGAGCTCAATTCCAGGCTGCACAACACGGAATAGGTCCAAGGTCACAGACCCAGCTATCAAGTCCCAGAGAAAATGCCACACATAATGGAAGGTGGTAACTGCCAGGGCTCCGAGCCTGAATTCATGAAGGAACCATCCCCATGGAGGATGAGACACTGTAATCTGCGCCTAAACCAGTTAACTGTTCACACAGACATCACCATTTACGTGAGGATTTTAACAGAACCCAGACTCTTGCTTCACAATACCCAACTGTGCTAGATCCAATACAAAATTCCAAGCCAGCCCAGTGGCAGGAGGGAGGCCTTTGCAAGGACCATGGCAGTTGGAGGCCAAGCTGGGCGGCACAAGGAGACCTTCCCCTACAGAAAAAAAAAATCATTTAATGCTTTAGAAGCCTGGGAAATACATGCAATATTCAGGAAGAACAAAGTTATCAAAAGATGTTTTCTTGTTGCTATGATGAAGACCATGAGCAAATAGGCAAGGCAAGGGTGTATTTCAGCTCACAAGTCCTGACCACAGTTGCTCATGGAGGGAGGCGAGGCAGGAACGGAAGCAGAGATCATAGAGGGATGCTGCTTACTCGCCTACTCCCTTGTCTTTCTCAGACTGATTTCTTACACAGCACAGGACCGCCACCATCCACGGTGAGCTGGGACCTCCCCTATCAGCCATCAAAAAGAAAATGCCCCACGGGACACAAACAGAAAAGGAAGACGCTGAAGTGTCTGTGTGTGAAGATGGTATGATTTTATACATAAAAGACCCTGAAACCTCCACTAGGAAACGTCTACAGTTGTTAAAATCCTTTCCTCGAAGTAGCAGGATACAAACTTAACACACAAAAATCAGTCACCTTCCTATACATAAATAACAGACTGAGAAAAAAATCAGGCAACAGGAGCTTTCGCTATAGCCTCAATGAATAGATAAATATAAAACCTTGAAATAACTATAACCAAGCAATTGAAAAACCTGTGAATAAAAACTTTAAGATGTTGAAGAAAGCCGGGCGGTGGTGGCGCACGCCTTTAATCCCAGCACT